CCCCCCCCCCCCCCCCCCCCCCTCAACTCTGAGTCACTCAGATCAGGCGAGATTTAAAAAAAACAACAAAAAAAAACATGATGGATGAATAGTTTCATTTGCTGCTTACAGGCAGGTATGTGATTCCCTCTGGTGTGTTTCTGAGGGCTCAGCCCGGCTAGTTGGACCCATCCACCGCTTCCTCTCTATTGATTGAGTGTGTTGCTTAAACGTTCACGTACACGCTGAGCTATACGCATTGATGCATTGACCTCTCAGGCTGCATATAACGAGCACTCAGTGATCACTGTCACCTGAGAGAGCACGCACACGACAAGACCACGTGCTCATGCAGAGACACAAATCACTTTGTTTTACTACCTGCCTGTAAGGATAATATATGGAGTAATCACAGAGCTGCATAATGAGTCTGTCTGGTTGTTTGAGTTTTAATTAGGGGGGGGGGGGGGGACTCCTATCTACTGCAATTTGTTTTAATGTTTTTATGGTTATGTGAATGCTTCCAAGCCTAGTTGGTTTAAACACAGTTTGCAATGTTGGGCTGTCCCCTCATAGACGATTAGTCAACTAATCGCTCGTTTTGGTCTCAGCGGGACTAAGATGTATTTAGTCGATTGGTCGTTTTGGGGATTTTTTTCATGCGGGATGACTCATTTCCAAGCAACTTATGAGCACATCTCTGGTAAACACAAGATTTAAAGCGGTGCTCTTGTGTGATTATTTGTGGAGAAACTGAGCTGTTGATTAAATCAACTCATCGATTCGTCGACAAAATTGTTTGAGTGTTTGTTACCTAATAATCGAGGACAGCCCTATTGCAATAAGGGTGACAGACGTACCGTTTTGAATTATTTGTAATATTTGAAAAAAAAATGGATCTGTGGTTTCAGAGGTAGACCAACGCAGGCTTCTCATTTCTATCTGTCGACAGAAGATTTTCCACCTGAATAGACAGCTGTAGCTAGCTAGCTAATTCAGCTAATGTTAGCTCCGTTAGTTTGTTGATAAAACTAAAATAACTGTAAAGTGGTGTTGGATACGCACTTGATGGCCACATACATTACCTTTCAAAAGTTTGGAATCGCCTGCCACAAAAGCTTGATTGGGAACAGTCTGATGGCTGACTACTTTCTTTATCTGAAAGGGCAGAAAGAGACAAAGGTACCTCTGAGCAACAGTCAAATAAGAACAGAAATCATTGATGAAAGACATCGGAAGCATCGCTTCAATGCCAAACAATGCAGCCTGTAACAAACTGGACTCAACAGGCATGTTGCTTTAACAAAGCTATTCTTCAAAGGTCAATAGAAATAGAACTTTAATCTAGGGCCAGCACTAATAGAAGTGCATCATATTATATCAGTTGGACCTACTATGAACTGACAATCACAGTTTAAAACTCTTCAATTTAACCACTGAGTAGACTGCAGAGGGCCCAAAGGAAAACGGCCTCCCAAAATATTTAGAACACAATACTGTTTATGTCTCTGTTGAAATAGTCATTATTAGAAAGAAAGAAGAAGATCAATATAGCAGCAGATATTACATTTTTCCACTGTGGTTTACATAATATTGTGCTGAAATCTCCATGTCAGCATGTTGTCTGTGTAGGAAACATGGAGATAAAGAATAAAGACGTTGTTTTTGTTTTTGCAGTGTAAAGATTGTTAGTATCATATATATATATATATATATATATATATATATATATATATGATAAGGAATAATGTAATAACAGACTGTTGTTGACATGACACTGTTTACATGGTTTGTCCTTTCAAACTTTTAAACCTACATGAGAGAAAAGCTGTTAAGATGAGGTCTAAGCAAAGTGTTCGACAAACGTAATCTAAAGGACCCTTGGCTGGATTTGCTGGAGCGGACTCCAATACAGAGAATGAAGGAGCTAAAGTTAGCCTTCACTCCAGGTCTGGCCTCCACACAGAGGGAAAATCATCCACAGCTTGACAGAGCTGCCATACGGGGGAGAATTCTCGAATACAAATGCAAGAATACAGTGTAGAAGGGGTTCTTTTTGGTATAATTTGGCTCCTTTAGCTCTGAACAGGTGATGAACTGCTGCTACTGGATTTCGACTTTGTCCGTCCGATGCATTCAAATGCTCTGTCCCTCTATACTCTCTCGTTTTTTTTAACGTGTCTTTGTTCTTGTCTTCTTGGTCCTCCTGCCTCCCAGGGTGCCCCTCTGCTCGAATGCCGCTGCTGTCACTGTCACACGTGTACTACCCACCGTCCTTCCTTCCTCCCGTTGCACTCTGTTAGCCCTGGAGTCCAGGTCCTTCTCTTTCCTTTCCTCTATTCAACCTGTAATCACCACACTCATCTGCTTACACATCCATCCCTCCCCTCTTTGGTTTTTTTTGGTGGTTGGGGTGCCGCAGTGCACTTTGTCTCCTTGTTTTGTGGTTCTTAACATTTCAACCATAGACATTCTCTTCATCCCTTTACTTTCCCATCTCTCATCTTCATCTTACATTTCAGAGTTTAAGATGCAATTCGCTGAAGTTTTGTGGTTAAACGCATTCAGGGAAGAGAGGTTTTCTCGATGTTGTTTACCTTCTTTACTCAAGCTTCTATGATGGCTGTTGGCTTCGTTGCGTCAGTGAGAGCTTGTAAGCAATGGTTGAGGTTGTTTCCGTCAGGTGGTTTAAAGCTCCTTTTCAAAAAAACATTATATTGGTCTTTTTAAGACATGTTGAACTAGATGTCCTTCTTATGCAGAGAATTTTGAATTTCTTTTGACCATTTCAAAATCATGTGTAATCTGTATGTAAATCAGTATTAACCAGCACATGTGTGTTTTGACTGCTTATATTGTGTTTGTCTGAGCCACCGGCATAGAGCACATGTTGCTTTTGAACCACTAATCAGTGTATCGTTGAGCTCCCAGAGGGTCGTAGCTTCGGTTTTACTGCTGCTGCTTCCAGAGGCCGAGTGTACTTCCTGTCAGACATCATCCATGTTGTGGATTGAGCCCTGAGTGTCTGTGATTATAACACGATCACTGGACTGCACCTCTAATCCACATGCACGTGTGTGAGCTGAGGACTTGTCAGTGTGGCGCAATGGCCTCCTCCACTGCCGCCCGTCTCACGCCCTCCTCTCGTCCCTCCTCCCTCCCTCCCCCCTCGGCAGATCGACCCCCTGGAGATGGACGCCGACATGCAGTCCCTGGGCAGCACCTCCTGGCTCTTGGACCAGCGGGACTCCCACAGGCGCCCCGTCAGCACCAAGTACGAGACCACCATATTCTGAGGCCGGATCCCCATAGGCGGCCCTCAGCACCCCCTCGTACTTCCCTCTCCCCTCTGCATCTGATTCTTTATTTATCTCTCACGCACACACACAGACACACAGACATTTATACATGCGAGCCCCGTGCCTTCTCACTGTGATGGTATAGCATCCCTCAGAGTGGCCTACTCCTGCACCTTCCTTTGCCCTGCCCAGCGACCCACACCAACCTCTTTACCCGCCATGACAAACACTCCTGTGGCTCCCCCGTGCCTCCCCAAAAACCCTTGGAGCCCCCCACACTCGCCTGTTGCTGCTGCAGCCAATGGTGGAGCCCTGGAACGGATGATCCTGGACTGATCTCATTTTACAGTGGCCCTGCTCTCTCAACCAAACTGCCTCTTCCTCCTCATCCTCCTCCTCCTCAACGTGCATCTGCCTCCAAATCCCCGATATCTACCAGAGGTTCCATCTTTATTCTTCTTCTTCTTCTTCTTCTTCTTTCAGGCCATTCTTTAAATTGATTCACTGCAGGCAAAATGAGCATTTTTAATTTGTCTCTGTTTCTAGACTCCAAATGAGCTTAGTTTAATTTCCAGAAAGGTTAAGTTTATAATATTGAGTAAACTACAAACATGAGTATAATACCAAAATGGTCAGTGTGTTCAACTGTTAACAGAAAAGTTTAACTTTTTGAGGAAGGCGCTTATTCATTAAAGCTAGATGAGAATAAAGATACCACTCTCACAGCTGTACAGCAAATGTGCTACAGCCAGCAGCAGGCTAATTTAGCTTAGCATAAAGACTGGAAATGGGGAAAACGCTAGCCTGGCTCTGTCCAAAGATAAAAAAAAGTCTTCCTACCAGCACCTCATCATCTCACTGGTCCTGACCGGGACATAGTCCAGCACCCCCGTCAAAACGCCAATTTTTTTCGTTTTTACATTTAGGTTTTCGTACGTATTAAACAAATGGCATACAACGTGTTAATTAGCGAGCTTTATAGGTGCTGGTAGGTGGGTTTTTTAAATGTTGGACAGAACCAGAATAGCTTTCTCCATATGTTTCCAGTCTTTGTGCTAACCCAAGTTAACCGCTGGGTGGTGTCAATATTGACAAGAAAACCAATTAGCGTTTTCCCCAAAACGTTTAACTTTTCCTTTGAACGCGCCCTTTGGATATCGCTCATATCGAAGGTTTATTCTGTAATGTAACAGCATGAATCCTTTTCTAGTTTTTCCACCGTCACTTTTTCTTTTAGAATTTCTGAATTGTTTGGTTGTTTTGCCTCAAGACAAGTTATACATATTGTTTCTTTCTCCATCTTCAGCCTGTCCTGTCTTACCAGGCATCTACCACTGTGAGGCACTATGAGGAGGCTGCTTTGCTAGCATGGGATGCAAGACGGACAATTAAATCAATGACAGACAAAACAGCAACATGCAGCAAACAACCTGGTGTTTTTTTTTGTTTTCTACGCATTTGTACAATACTCATAACTACACCATGGCTTGGTCATGGATCTATCACTGATGTCTGAACTCGAACGGACCAAGAACTCAACCCGCGAACACACACACACACACACACACAGGTGGACAACTTTCCTACACTTTACTGAGGACAACAGCCTTACGTCATTTCGGTTATCTATAATCAACTAAAGCCCCCACCTTCCCCCCGACCTCCCTGAATACCACCACCACTGCACTCCTTCCCCTTCTGCTTCTAAAAGAAACAAAGACAACACTTCTGATTCCCCGGTGTGTTGAACTGACTGACGATGACGATGATCATGACTGAAGATGTCGTTCTTATGATGGTACAGACTTGTCCAGATGAGAGTTTCGCTCTGGCCTTTGTACCGCCCCGTCTGCAGTCTCTCAGCATTCACGGTAGCACCGAGAGACTGCGACTCACATCTTCTACGTGTCAATTAAAAAAGAAAGAAAAGAATAACACTGTGTTAAAAAATGTAGCACTATCCCTTTTAATACCTTATTTTTCTTTTCTTACGGCAAATAGGATATTAATGCATTTTGTGATACTTTTTTGATAGACTGATACACCAGATTGAAATACTTTTGGACAGAGCGATTACGAGGGGATCATGAAGGATCCCAACGTTGATACAACCCCAAGGCAAAAAAAAAACCCAACAACAAAGAGAATACTACCAAACAAAACTACACAAGAGTGTACTGGCATTGGATCCACAACATGATTTCATTTGACTCGTATATTAATGAGCCCGGAGCACATTTCCCCAACGTAGCATCTTATTATCATGATTACATGGGTCGGTATCCATGCTGTTTCACACCAATTTAGAATTAGGTACAGTACATGCAAAGTATGTCACTTGAAAATGAACGTCAGTGAAAAGATTTAATTCCACTACATTAACTCTGGTGTCGTGTGGATGGGAATGGATTTGTTATGCTGAGAACATGACACAGGTTTTTGTTTTTTTTAAAAGAAGAATTTCCTTCCTGCACTGTGACTCAAAAATGCTCGGCGTGGAGTCGACACATATCTGTTGGTCCTCCCCTGTGTGCACTACTACCTACTGTGCGTGCTGTATGCCTTGTTGTCTGTCCTCATGGGAGTTTGGACCGTTTGGCCGTTCCATCACTGTCCCGCCGTCCTTGTCTGTGTGCTGCAGGAGATGTGAGGTATTGAGCTCCTCTCCAGAAGACAGTGTGTGTGTGTCTGGAGACTGACTGTTAAGCTGTAACTGGTTCGTGTGCGGTACCGTGGCCGTGCCATTGCCACTTTGTTCTGACTGTTAGCTTCCACTGACGATGCATGTTGGCAGTGTTTCTTTTGTGTGTTTTCTGTACCCTTCGATGCACTTGAGCCTGAGCAGTCTATGTATGTACTGTAGCAAATGTCTCGTCCGTCTCCTCTCACCCACCTGCCATTTGCTTTTCACGTCCCCCCCCCACACCCCCCTCTCTTCGTCACGCACCATGACAGCGATTCATCCTCATCCCTCCACGTCATCATTCCGCCCAACATTTTGTCACGTATGTTCTTCCATTTTGGCGTGTCACCAAGACGACCTGCTCTAGTATGGATGCATAGTATAAAAGCATTACAACTTTAATGAGCAGCCGCTATTTAAAGCAAGTTTTGGTGGCATGATTTTTGGCTGTGCATGTACCAGTCTTCTTTAACATTTGGTGTTTTCCTTGTGTAGCTCACCCCAGCGTTCAAGTTTCCGGATACCAAGCTGTGAGTTGAAGGGGAGCAGCCGATGCGAGTGTGTGTGTTGAGTTGTAGTGGGCAGGGCAGTGGGAAAGAGGTAGAGAGAGAGAGAGAGAGAAAACGAGAGGTAAGCCTTATGCAACGTGCAGGGCCAAGCAGACTCTGTATATCCCCCGCTCCTCCACTGCCCCTCATATGAAATCCCAACACACTGACGAAAAGGTGACCTGTTGTCCCACGTCGCTGGCTAAACGGGACCTGTGTATCACTCAGAAATCAGAAAAGGGTCACGTCTATGTCCTGAGCTCCATGTGACTTTCTGACCGTGTCATGTATAGGTACTGTTTTGTTTAAAAGCACTGTAGACCATAAATGATAAAGACCATTTAACGAACATTTCTATTGATTCAGGGTCTATTGGCGGTAGTAACTGTCACAGTTATTAAGGGTAAACAGAAATGTAACAAAAAAATAAACTACCAGCATACAATGCTTCGCCCATGTTTGTGGACAGAGCACGGTTTGTCTATGAAAATGTGATACTGTTTCAAATTTCAAAGCAATATTATATTAATGAAGAATTAAATAATACAATGACAAAAGAATCCCTCTCACGTCTGTTGTCAGCATTGATTTTGTTTTATGGTTAAAAAGTAAAACACAGAAACATCACAGCAGCTGTTTGGACTCTAAAGAGACAAACATAACAACATTGTTATCTACATTGTACAATATCAGTGTTTCCCTGCTGTGGGGAATAGTGGATGGTGCAACTAATACATCAACAAAAGATGTGTGCGTACCATTTGTTGTGTTACATCCAAGCCCCAGAGCTCAGCGTCTGACTTCCTGCTCTGCTCGGAGCTGTTAGAGGGCCACACACGTGGTTTCACATGTTTAACTCGTTTTATGAAAACTATTTCCTCATGACAACCGTTCTGCTTTAGAGTTCTACTACAACAATTTCACATTTGGTCTGTATTTCGGCTAACATTCAAGGTGTCCATGTGTGTATTTATTTCAGCACAATATGAAAATATGCTAGCTGAGATGTGAAACTTGCTCGACTCAAGTCACTTTAAAAAGAAGATTGAAATACAATCTTACCGGTTGTTAAGAGGGCAATCTGTTGCACTTTGAACTTTCAGTTTGTTTTTGTGTTTAGCTAAACCCGTGTTAAGTTAACTGGATACACTTATAATAACTAACTAACTGTTACAAATGTATTCAGTAATCATTTTCCCAGAATACTGATTAAACTTCATCAAGGTGGACCGTGAGGCCTCGCAGAATTTCGATACGCATATTGATTTGTTGAGTGGAGTGAGTCATGGCTGCTCAAAAGTGAAAAATGAATCAATTTGATTTTCGTACAAATAAGCACCTGTTTGCTCCACCACCTCCCACCAATCTGAACTGTAAGGGAAACACTGAGAATATTGTTGGTTTATAATGAAAAGGTGCAAAAAAAAAAAAAAAAATGAATTCAGAAAAAGTGCACACAGTTTTTGGTAAATTATACGTAAACATCTATCAACATAAAGATAAGAAGAGAAACCTGCTACATATTAAAACTATTAGAAGTATTATTTACAAACTTAGCATCATCTTTGGTACTTATTTGGTTATTTTCCTGAGGGTGTTTATCTTGAAATAAAGTGAACTGAGAACTGAAAACCTTTTCAGGCTATTGATCATAATCAGTCTCTTGTTGTGACTCTTTTCATTAGCACACTAAAAGCTATTTGTTACTCTTGTCTGGGTGAAAACCGTTATTCATTTTGTTTTCCTAATGTTTTATGCTCTCAAATGTGTGGTGATGGTGCACCACTGCAATAATAATGAATCTGCCTTCTGTTTTTGACCTTTTGTTTTGTTTAAACACCTTAAAAAAATATAATATACAACTTTTTTTTTTTTTAAATCTGCAGACTGTAAATGTCTTTCCCTCAAACATTCACTGTTCACTGTATTTACACTATAGCGACGCATTCAATGGCGAATGGCATCTTATGTTAAGGTCACCAGAGGTGGCCCTCAGCCTAGCGTGAGTCCTCCCCGGTCTCAGCCTCTCCTGGTGGGAACAGCACTTTCCTGAGGATGGGTGCGTAGAAGGGCCCGAAGACGCTTCGGTTGAAGTGGACGATTCGCCCAAAGGCCGTCCCCAGCTCGGCTAGCTCGGCGCTCACCAGCCCGAGGGGAGCGGGCAGCGCTGGACTCCTTTTAGCGAGGCCGCCCTGCAGCATGGCCCGGAGGAAGCCCTGTACTCTGTCTCCTATGTTTGATGGAGAGAGGGATGAGGGGGTGGAGGGCGAGAGAAGGAAAGAAGTCGGCACTCTGCGGCGGCACACATCCAAGTTCAAAAACATCCATGTGGACATGCGACAAGGCAAACTAACTGACATTTTAACGCATGTTCTCTCCTACAGATTAAAATATACTACCATATACCGCATTATTCTGTGACTATTTTGATAATCAATTAATAGCCAGTATTTTTTTTCAAGACAAAATGCCCAAAAAATCCTGCTTCTGAATGTGAAGATTTACTGTTTTTTTTTTTTTTCCATGTATGAGAGCAAAATGTTTTAGTTTTGGACTGAAAATGATGGGTGTGAGGATGTCAACGTAGCTGTCAATTAAGAATATAACGGGCGGATGAACCAATAGTGAAAATAAGCGTTACTTGCAGGGCGTGTTTGGTGCATCCCTAAACTAACAGAATTTTCTAAACCACACACTTTAAAAGAAATAAAACAGAAATAAAACTAACACTGGTGCCATAACAGCTTTAAATACTTAGAAACTTAAATCTTCTATGTGGATTTTTACCACTTCCCCCCCCCCCCATTTGTGCTTCATGTAGTCATTGATGGTGCTCAGCCTGACCTATGAGTGTGCGGACAGGGTTGTTGTGCTTCCACAGCTCCGATATTTGTCCTCTCAGCAGATCCTGGCTCTCCCGAGGCAGCACTGCTGCTCCTCCCCGGCCGCGCACAGCTTCGGTCACCAGCTGCAGCACTGTCTCCCCGAGCCCCAGCAGCACCCCCTTCAGTTTAGCTTCCCTGCGGCACCAGAAACCAGCATGAGACACATTACCAGCAGGCTTCATTAGATGTGTATTAAGTCAAAGGCCTATGAATTTTTCCATTTATAAGGAGTGTTGAGCAAAGAGTCGACTTTCATGAGTCCTGGGACCCATGGAAGTCAATAAATAAGGGTGTTTAATAGCTTCTAGGGCTCTCTGGTTTAGATTAAATAAAATTACATTTTATTATAGGTGATTAAGAATTGAGAAGTAGCCGGTGCTGCATTTTATTGTAGCTTGGAGTGTGAGCAGGCCTTGGATATCACAAGCTGCTGTTCCACATTTATCCACTAATCATGACGGGGCCTCTCTTGAACAGAAAGAATGAGGTTAGCTGGATCCGTTCTGACAGGTCAGTCGTCTCCTGTCACCTCCATCGGTTTCCTTCTCATACAATACCTGTTCCCCATGACAGCCAGTACAAGCATCACCAAATCCTCCTCTTACCTGGTGTGACTGCCCTCCAGCAGGGCAGTGACGGACTGCCTGAGTCTACCTACAAACCCCTGCAGGGAGAAAACGGCGTCCCCACACTGAGCGTTGGTCAGGAGCAGCACAGACGCCTCCAGGACCAGCATCTGGAGCCGCTGGCCCAGAGCGTCCAGCCGGGCTCGGTCCATCAGCACAGTCTGCGTGTGGAGGTCAGGGTCACGTGTCAAACAGGTTAATCACAGGGAATCCGCAGCTTAAATAGAAGCAGGTTCAAACAAAGCAAACGGCTACATCTAGATGAAAACGTGTCACTGGAAACAGGGACAAATTGTAGCTCTACTAAATGGAAAAATAATGGAAAACACTACTTTATTTATTTAATCATATAGAATATGATAAATATGATATGAAAACTAGGCGTCAATGGAGCGGAGAGTTTAAACAAGTTAGCTAATAGTGATGGATAAATTATTCAAATCTGTGGCTTAAAGTCATGAATAAATTGCTTAAAAAGCTAAAAGTAGCCTCGTGGATAAAATTGATGACTAAAAGAAATGAATAAAAATAACTTAAGATGGATAAAATAGATAAAAAGTTTAAATAGCTGGCTAAAAGTAATAAATATGTGGTTGAAATTATTAGATAAAAGAAATGGATATGTGTTTAGGCACTCCATGTGGAAGTAACAGAAATGCAAACTTGACAAAAAGCACCCAAACATTCAGTTTAATTATATGAAGGTATTATCGTAGGCTAACAATGTCTGCTTTTATATAATTAATCGTGTTAAGTAACCTGGAGTTTAAAATCAGATGATGAGGTCACATGGTGGGTGATGTTGATGAAGGAGTGTCTGAGCTCATCTGACAGGCTGCGTCAGTGCATCAGACTGAAGAGGTGCTGCTTGAGCCCTAATGTGCTGTCACATGCGCTAACATGCGGCGGGGTGAGGAGGAGTGTGTGAGGGGACTGAATATTTCCTGAGGATCAATAAAATATCACTCGATTGAAATTGCAAAGTGCAATGTGATGTCATTTTTGCATGCTGCAGCTGACCTCGGGATATTTCTGGTCTTGCGGGTCCCAGTGTAGCAGACGCATGTAGGCCTGGTCGAGGACAGCGGTGGCGCTGACAGGACCCCGGCTGTCAGGACTGGAGGACTCAGACCGAGCTCCGACGGCCGCCGCCTCTTCTGACGCCACTGCCTGAAGCCAAGCGGTGGTGTCGTCCAGAGAGGCTGAAGGGAAACAGTAAAACACATGACAAAGGTAGCGGTTACCAGAGGAGTCACATGGTGTTTCGGGTGGTACAGACATGGATCTGCTTCAGTTTTCTTCCTCAGAAAATGGGTTTAAAGGGGCAATGTGTAAAATCTTCCCAGTATTTGTAGTTTAAAACATGAAATAAAAATAAACCAACAGTATCAACAGGATATGTAAAGACGTGTTGGTGTCATGTCAAAGACGTCTTTGTTTTGTGTCGCAGAGATATCTCCTGAGATAAGCACGCAAACAGTCCTGTCTTGTAATAACACTTGTACCTCTAGAGGCGATAGTGAGTCACGGTAGCGTCCTTTCTGCCTTCATGAGCAGACTAAGAAGTAACTGCTCCAAGGGCGTGTTGCCTTTTGGGGTACAGCGTCTTTTAGCCTACGTATTGATAGTTTGTTTATTGGATTTAATCCAAAGTGTCCTCGCTGCCACCACGAAACAAGTCCAGCTAACCGCTAACTGACTTCTCCTGGAGCCGCCGGGAGGTCAGTTAGCGGTTAGTAGAGGTGAAATACTAACCCGGATTTGTTTGGAGCATGCGGCCAAAAACTGTAAATTGAACCTTTAAATGTCTGTTTAGGTAGTACGGGGAATAAAACCGGTTAAATTACGTCCACAGCACATTTGCTTCACTCTCACAACAGCTGTAACACGATGAGGAAATTACTTTTTTGAAATATACTGGCACCTTCTTCCATAACTAAGATAATGCTGGCATAAGTGAAAACATTTATTAACCACAGTAATTCATTTACTAAAAATATGTTTTTTTGGAGGGCAATCGTCTTATATAAAGACTGTGATTGGCCAGCTGTACCAAGACAGAATATCTGTGCCAGAGGTCACTGATTGGCTGTCCAGCTCTTCACTTCATCTGTGAGAAGCTGGAAAACAGCAGGATGGTGCTTAGAGGGACAAAGGTCAAAATCAGTTTAATTAAAAAGAATAAATTTCACAGAAGGTTTCACCTTCATCAACCATCACTCTCTCACACACACACACACACACACACACACACACACACACACACACACACACACAGCAGATTTAAACACCCTTCCTCACCCGGCTGCTTGTCCAGGATCTGCTGGAACTTGGCCCTCTCGTAATGCACGGCCTGCTGCAGGAGGTGAGGCCTCAGGCTCTGGATGGTGAAGTTGACCATGTCGGTCTTCATCAGGCCCAAGACGCGGAAGATCTCCCTGGGGGGGGGGGGGGGGGAAGCACTTCTGAGTGAAACAGCTTTTCGGATGAAAAAAGCAAACAAGCGAACTATGATGCTCTTCTCAAAACTGAGGAAGTGTAATATTGTTGACTAAATGACTGAAATAAAGTATATAAATAAACCCACATTTACAAAGGATTGGCAGTTAAGGTAAATATATAATTTGGCCTACTAAAATCCTATTAATATATAAATATATTAATATAATCCTTGGGATGCTACAGTGACTTCCTGTTTACATAGTTGATAGCTTCTGACTGGACAATACCAGAGATGTTTCCTTGTATATGATTTTTACTAAAGTCTTTACTATCGCTAGGACATTCCTGAACTTTCACTGGTGCGACCCAATTTATTAAATCTGTTTTCTGGGTTGGTCAAACATTGTTGCTTAATTATCTTTTAGAAAAAATTAATAAAAGAATGTGGTAATATATAACAAGTTTTGTCTGGTGTCAGTTTTCCCCCCTCACCTCAGGAGCTCCACAGGGTCCCTGAGGTCCCTTAGCGCCCTGACCGCTGGGTCACGTACAGGTGCGCATAGAGATGCCATGGTGTCGATGATGTATCCTGCCAGTCTGTGGAGATCCAGAGCCCCGTGATCGACCTCCTGCCGGATCAGCTCCATGTCCAGCACCTCGTCCAGCTGAGCTCTCAGTCTGACGTGACCGGGCAGCAGTAGGGACTGAAGCATCTACAGGGAAATATTAGTAACAAGAAAAATAATAAAATCCTGTACAGTAATGCCAAAGATGTGTGTGAGGTCATTTAGAAATGGTGTCGCTGTTAGATGGGAACACTGTAAAATGACAAAATACAAACTGTAGCTTGATTATAATTCTTTAATTACGGCATTTCATGTCGAGTCTCTGATGTACGCCGACACATCTTCATCTCATCTTTTTGATCTCTAAACATAGCGTCTGACAGGCGAGCTTTAAGCCAACTCTGGTACAGAACATCAAATACTAACATTTATATTTAATATTGAACATGGTCCCTTGGTTATTAAATAAATAAATATACTGTAATCGATATAAATACATGTTTTTCGCTTTCATGCTAAGAGTTAGATGAGAAGATACCAAGAAATAGACATAAGAGTAGCATCAATCCTCCCATCTAACTCTGCCTGAAAGTGAATGGGCACAATGAAGATTATCATCACTTATTACACCAACTGAAAGCACCGCATCACTGTCTTTGTCATCACTATCTATCAGCGCGAATAGATTTACCAATAACAAACATGTTCAGTTGTTTCCCCTAATTTATTTCCCTGTGAATAGCACACAGCTCTCATGAGCCGTGTGCTTATCTCGTCATCTGTCCATACTGTAGACATTGTTTTGATCTTCACATCAGGATGAATGGGGTCTTTCCTCGGCTATACCGATGCCTCTGATTCGATGCCGTGCACACTTACAGTCTTGACTTCCTGTAGCAGAATGACGGCATGGCTGTAGTTTGGAGGATCGCTGGTCAGCTGCTCTTGAAGACTGTCCCAAAACGCCCGGTGAACGATCTCCGTCACTCTGCCCTCCAGGCTACAGAAGGGAAAAAACTATTAAAGATTTAAAAAAAAAAACAAAAAAAAAACAGCTCAAAAGAGACTTTACTCTCATTTAATTTGGGATATAGGAATAACCACGGTCACTTTCGGTGTGTTTTTCTTGCCTGTCAGTCGGAGGACTCCTGGGTTTGAAGCAGAAGTCTCGGTTCAGCACTATCTCATGTGCGAGGTTCAGGTTGGAAAGACAATTTCCCAGCTCCATCAGACTGGATAATGAGGCGGTGGGTGGGCTCCCTGACACCACAGACAGGACACACACACACGCAGATAATTAAAGCTGCCACGGTGGTAGTAATTCAATTACTAATGGTCCCCTAATGGCCCAATAACGGCCATAATAAAGCTTCATACCTGTGGGAGAGTCAAGTTTTTCCAGACAGGGAAGATCCGCAGGGGAATCATCAGCGGCCTCGTCTCTTTGATTCGGCATTTAGGCAAAAGTCTGGGTGGAAGAAGAACTCAGATCTTTTACTTAAGTAAAAGTAACAATACCACAGGGTAGAAATACTCATAAATACTGTAGCCAACATTAGATTACGGTCATAGCAAAGAAGTAGGAAATGGAAATACTCAAGTAGAGTACAAGTACCTCAAGATTGCAGTGCTGGAATGTAACTAAGCACATTTACATAGCGCCCAAGTACAATTTTGACATGTAGTATTTCCATTTTATGGTACTTTATACTTCTACTACACTACATTTCAGAGGGAAATATGGTAGTTTTTGCTCCACTACATTCATTGGAAACTTAAATAGGATGCAGTACTATTCCATCAATGCAGTAGTATACAAAGTACTGTATCTGAAATTGGCTTCACACTGACAAACTCCAACATTACAATGCTCTGTATTAATTGGTGATGAAACAGAGTAATGTAATATTCTACAACAAAAAACTAAAATGAGCCATTGTGCATCACCAGGACTTTTACTTTTTGATACTTTGAGTACATTTTGTTGATAATACTTTTACTGAGTAAAGGATCCGAGTACTTCCTTCACCACTGTAATTAAAGTTAAGCACAGTAAAGGTTAACGTAACCACCACTGAAAAAGCAAAGCAAAGGTCATACATTAAAAGAACAATCTAACGCAAGCATGACACTGTGACGACTATAAGACATCTTTTAGAGAATAGCCTACCTGTAGCTGGTATTACGGTCACTTTATTCAAACTTATTTATGAAAAATGGGAAATAACAAGCTGAAACGTTACATACACCCGTCTATACCGTTTAAAAGTATCATACAGATCATCACAACATCAGCGTTAAAGTTTGAACCTGGGCTAAACCACTCTAAAAAGGATATAGGGGGAGGTTAAAAGTGACAGCCATTGTTATAGTTTGAACACATAATCTAAACCTGTTTCTACAATTGTAGAGTGATGTAAACCTTCATGTACACGCTTTAGATTGTTGACTCTTCTACATTTCTTATTTAAAATACAGGAAAAGACAGCGGCTTCATTTGGTTTGGTCCGTTCTCAAATCAAAACAGTGGGCGTGTCAGTAGCGTGTCACTACTGCTTTTGAAGGAAACGTATTGTACTCAGCCTGTTCGTACCTGTTCCCTGTTTGTTCAGTGGAAACAAAATAGAAAGCGGTCGGTGTGTTTGTATAAACGGTCCATTGTTCGAGACATTTATGAGTTAAACAGCTGGAAATGTCCTGTTTCCTATGAACCAGGAACTTCGAGAGAGCACCGAGGCAGAAGAGATTAAAACCGCAGAGGATGAGCAGTGAACACAAACCAGTCTATGACCCAAACATGTGAAGAATATACTCCAAATTCTTTAAATAAACATCTCTGATGAAATCATCATCAATATCCTTTTCTAGATACTATTTATGTACAGCGTACCTTAAATGCCTCGTGCTCCCATACACAGTTGCATGCACTCTTATTATGTCCCTAAAATATCTATACATACAATTGCTTTGAAGACATCCCCTCCATTTAGAAATACTGTCGGATTTATGCGTCCGTTTATACTTTTTAAAATGTATTTGTATTTGTGTATTTTGGGGGGGGGCTTTAAATTATACTTGTAATGTCATTGTTCGTACACTTGAAATTGTTGTGACAGTTGTACTTAATAAAAATTGTCTTACATTATTTGGTACATCCGACCTATCTCACACTTGCTGGGGACTCAGGAGTACCGTGTCGAATTTTGGGCAATTTGGACGAAGCAGTATTCCAGTAATACTCCAGTAATAAGCTAAAGCTTGCTTTATAAATATAATATATTAGTCTACAGCTAATTACAATTCCTCCTCGGCATAGTGAAGGATGGTCTAATGGAGTTTTGCGACTACTATTAGTTGTCTTCTTGCTTCTTCACGGTTGCATTTTGTTTGTTCGCCCTCTGGCGGCAGAATACTGAAACAACGCGCGTTGAGAATAAACGCGTTTGAAGCGAGCTTGTAGCTAGATGGCGCACGTCATGGTGCCACGCATGTACTGTATAAACAAACTAAAGGCCATGTGTTACTTTTAATAGTACGACTAATAATACCACAATACCGCACAGTGAAAGTGCTAAATCTATACATTTGTTTTACTTTAAGTGAAGAGTGCATTATCAGCACAATGTACTCAATTTACTGTCTGTTTAAGGTGGAACTTTGAATTCAAATATAATTCTGGATAGTTTAATGAATAACAATGCAAGTAGAAGTAATAATAAACCTATAGCTGTTTGGGGCCCATATAGTAGCCTACCTTGCCCAATAGTAAAGTCTGCCCACTCCGGACGGCAACGAGAAGAAGCCGATCCAAGGTCTGTGTCGGGTTTGAGTGGGTACATGTGCTCGTGTGTTAGATTAGAGGAGAGTGCGCGGTGTGGATCCTGTTGCAGGGCATCGTTGTTGCAGGGTTGTGTAGTTGTGTTCGTTGCCTCATTGGTAAAGTTAGGAGCCTTGGGGATGTGTCTGCAACGCGTGGAGACTATTGCTTAGTTAATTGCCTTGGCTTGCATCCATTAAATCTTCTATATTACATATCGAGTCTGTGTAAGACTTCAGCGTAACACTGGAGCACTAGGTAGCGGTTGCTACAGGGCTTTTTGCACGCTGCTCCCAGCCCAAACAAAACCTAAATACCCGACAATAATAATTTTGAGTTATTGTTTTCTTACAAACCAGGAACTGTTACCTTTGAGAAGGTGCCGAGACAGAAATAGACTCTTTCACACAGACTTACACAAAAAAATGGCCGAAGACAGAACTGTATTGCAAATTATTTATAATTGCAAAATGTTGTGTAACAAACTGTTTTGATAAATACAAGCATTTGACAAAGCCTCATCTAAAAAAGGTTGACCTTCCATCACAGCCACAATACACAAATAGATTTAAACATATTTCATTAGACAAAAACAAACATTAAAAAACAATTCCCAGGCCATGATATTTATACATTTGCATATTTCAAAATATTAAACACCATTAAATTTCTGTCTTAACCACAGCTTCACACTTAGTTTCAGTCTTTCCCCCTCAATCAAGCTGCTATGTACATATATGTACATATACGTACATATACACTTGTTTAAATTCCACTCTCACTCTGGTGGAGTGTCTCATAACATTAAAGCAAGTAAAAAGGAAAATAAGTGCCAAAAGCGGGGCTGTGTGACGAGAGCAGCACACCCTCATTGTTCCTCAGATAACTTAGTGTCTTCCTATGAAACTGAGACAAGAAATCAATGTCAGATTCTAGAAGATCATTTTGAAAAAGCTGCGAAAAATCATCTAAGTCGTTAAAATCTACAGGCGAAAAACTGGAGAGTTCATGAAAGGGAAATCAATGTCACAAAAGAAACCGTTTCTCTGCATTCGAGCTTTGAATTGGAGAGCTGCGAGTCGCATTGTGAGAAAAAGGCAACGGAGCGCCGACTGAATAAAAATGAGAACATTGATCAACGCAAGTATCTGTTCCCAGCCTCACAGAAGGGGCCCTCTTTCATTCACGCTAACAAAACTGTACAAAAAAACATCTCTAATAATAATAATCCATTCAGACTTCACTCACGTTGTCGTAATGCCGTAATTCAGAGACCCGACTCGGGCACAACTGAGATGTAGTGCACTTTGGCACGACAGGTTCTTTCAGTTTTATTTGATATTTTCTCCCCTTTACAAATGCTCGTATCAAGGAACCTCCACTAGACATGTAATAAAGGCCTTAGCATCATCACCTAGTATTAATAAGCGCTCTTGTTGTCGAATGTTCTGCCCTCATTATGATAAGATCTTAAAATGCTAAATAGGTACACCTGGCTGTGATCTGATCAGTGTTGGGTTCCAGGTCTGGTGGATCCAACAGCAGACCCAATGCTGTGTGTTCTGCATGCACGTTAGGGCTGTCAACCAATATTCTCAATTTTAACATATTCGAAGGGTAAAGAAAAAACGATTTGGAATATAAATATTAATATTCGATTGGGGAAAATGTCTCGGCCACAGAGAGAGACGCCGTGTCCTAACAGCTAGCGCTACGTTACGTCATGTAAACAAACCAGCAGCTGTGCGGCTGAGATAAGACTGGCGACAGAACTTAAAGGATGGGTGAGTTGTGCCTTTTATCTTCCCACATTTGTACTTTTTAAACAGAAAACACACGTTATGTTGTGAAATTTCCTGGTAATGACGTACAACGTAGCAAACAGAAGCGTTCAGCTCCCTGTCGATCTCCCTCCAGCTCGATATTTCAACTTCACCAATCAGCCGTTTAAAGCAAGCAACCAGAACAAATAGAAGCACTGCGTCTGACAAAAGTTCAGCTCAAAACTGGCGCCCAGTTAGGAACACGACGTCATGAACAACTTGTTCTTTAGCCAGATCAGGTATCAAGATACAGCTTGCATGTTAGTACCATGTGTGTCATTCACTCATTTAATGTGAGAATGAACATTTTGTAATATGGCACAAACCTCACTGTGGCTCCTGAATTTAGTCCCTGTGAGTGCACGTAAACATAAACAGCTTCCAGCGCTCCAGCTCTAAACATAACTGCCATCAGTCCTGCTAAAGACAGAGCTGACGTTTACAACGTTATTGAGCAGATGCGGGTGAATACGAGTGTGTTTCAAAGGAACCAGTCCAGTAGTGGGGAGAAGGCGAGGTCATAGTGCAGTCAGTCTGTGTCGTCAGTGCCACGATATCGTCGGGATAATTCTGAGGAGTAATCATAATTTAGTTTTACAGTCCGCTCTTCTCTCACACACTTGCAGACAGACGCACGCGAGTCACTCTTTGCTGCTACGAGTCTTTGAGCATGTTGATGCGTGCGAAGATCTTGAGTGCAGGTCCCAGTTTAATGTTCATGGTGCTCATGAGGTGGTCCTCCTTCAACAGGAGCAGGGCCTGTCCGTCAATCTCCTGAGAGCGGAACTCGTCCGCGATCTCCTGACAACCTGCACGAGCCGCAGAGGAAGAAGTCAAGTCACACTCAAATTCCTAAGCAGAATAAATGTGTGTATGCAACGCCGCGTTTGCTTCTCTGACCTGGCAGCGACCGGATGAACTCGTAAACCTCCTCCACGTTCCACTTGGTGGGGTCGTTGGGTAAGAAGCGCCGACAGGGCGAAGGCGCATCTCGAACGCTACAGACGTCCTGGTCGGAGGCCCTGCTCGGATGCCGGTGGGCGGGGACCTGAGCGGGAGCCAGGGGCCCCGAGCTGGCCGCCGACAGCGGGGACGGCGGCTCCTCGTAGCTCGACATGTCCGAACACGGGCTGGACTCCTCCTGACTGGGCTGCGAGGGGTGCGGCGAGGATATGGAGCCGCCCGGAGTCTGCTGCGGGGACGGGGGCAGCTTCTGAGGAGCGAAACAGTTCGAGTATGACGTGAAAATGAATAGATCGTCAGTAAAATACCACCGGGACATTGTGTTAGACGCCACAAAGATTAAAAGGGGTGATGAGTGAGATTTATACTGTTCAATAGCTTCAGTCTAGTACACCTGCAGGGGTTTGATGGATACCAGCGCCTCGACAGAGCTGAACCCTCTGGATTATAAAAGGGACTTCTTGGTCCAAACATGAAACAAAAGCACAGGCGGTTCAACCCTCGAGGCATTACATAACTCAAAAGATTTCGGCTATAAAACCGTAATAAGATTGTTCTCCAGCCAAAAAAAAAAAAGACCATTATCATTATTCAGTGTCATCTAAACTATTTGTCTCGATTGTAAAAATGTTACTTTATTGTGTCATTACAAGTTTCAGCATTTCAAGGGCGGGAAAGTCGTGTCACTGGATATCGAGAAGAACCACGCCAAAGTCTCACATGAGAGGCTAATAAAAACAACTAAACAATGAGGCAAATAAAGAGGCTTTTGATGTTTATATAACTTGTGCAGCAGGCAGAACATCTCCATCAATGCTTCTCTGCTCCTGCTGGTCACCAATAAATGTTGACAAAGACGATAAAGTACATTTAGAGACAGAGGGACATAACTGGGCACTGACACAAATTATGCTTAAGTTCATTAAAAAGCAGGAGGCGTGAAAAGTGCAGGGCATAAAATGTGCAGTGGAAGCAGTATCTGATGGGAGGTAAAGTGTGTGTACCTGCTTCTTCGCCGGCACACTGGAGCGACCCGGAGATCTTCTGCGCCAGCGATTCGTCGGTTTAGTCCTCTCTGGACGGAAGAGGCCAATCCGCTTCGTGCATCCGACGTTGTACCTGTCGACAGAGGTCCACTGTTAGAGCTCTTTTTTTTTTTTTTTTTT